CGTGTTAATAATTAATTGAACAGCTTATTGGTATATTGTTATTTAGTTGATTTTTCTTTGATTGAATGTTGTTACTAACAATTTGCATTTGTGTTTAAAGTGTGCTCCTTATGTTAAGTGTGTGATTCTAAAGTTATGTGCTTAATCAGTACCATTAATATTAGTGAGTAAATTGGTGTATGCATTTCATAACCATTATTTTACTAGAGACCGTTGTATTTAGCCACAACGGGCTCTGTTGCTAGTTATTTTATCCTTTTTCATGTGTTATCTAGTGTTTTTATAGACATTCACTCTTCTGTCCTGAAACGGCGTAGCAGTAGCCTATGACTAGCAGTAGCTTACTGAACTTTAGGGGTGGGCGAGTAGTGGTTTTTCAGTTAGAGTCGAGTCGAGTCGAGTTTTTTGAGTAAAAACTCGAGTATCGAGTCGAGTCGAGTAGTTGCGCGTTAAGTAGGCCTAGGCCCAGGGTTTAAGCTGCGGTTTTGCTATTCACAACTTTAAAATGCTACATTGTTTGGCAGGCTGTAGCAAATTTTCTACAAATAAAATTGAAGATGTAATGTTCAAACATGTAACTTAATACAGCATTAGCCTACTGGAATTTTTGGTTTTAAATGCTTATTGAATAATGTTTTGGCTACAGTTGTGTGAGAGTGTGTAGCATTTTGCTGAAACAAATTTCATCCTAGCCTAAAACCCTGCCTAAGCCTAAGTAGGAAGTTTAAGTATATATACAAAATTTTCTAAGTTATATGGTTACTAATTATTAGTATCTGTTAACTAAGGCCTAATAAAAAATTTGGCCTAGACTACTTGTTGGCTGCAGCACTTTAAATTTACACATCACTTGTTATTGTGTGTTTTGTTTTTTCTTCCTTTTCCTCACTAACATGATAATCAACCTCAGTAACTAGCTTAATAACTTATAGAATGATTTCAATTCAATTAAGAAACAGAATTTGTGAGGTGATTAATTCGGGTAGGGTCACCTAGCCTAAACTTACCTCCGTTCGCTTGGACAGCTCGAGTAGTCCAGGGTTCTCACGCTAACAGTCTCCATCGCTTGCTAACTGCTTCTCGGTCCTCGTAAATTTGCTATTGCTTCGATCGGCTAGTACACGAGTACACACACCCTGTGTACATTGGCACATCGACGCACTGAACACTCATTACAACTATAACGTGGTGCCAGCACAGCGACGCACTGACAAAGAACAGCTCGATTCTAACTAATATGTGCCTAGGAATAAAAGGCGAAATAGATTAGGAACTGAAATAGAGAGCCAGCTCCTAGGCTTAACGAAAGAAATCACTTCTAAATAAAACTAAAAATAATCTTCTCGTATTTAAAAGAAAACGTCGCCAACTCGCGATAAGTAAATAATGAAATAAAATAGGTCTGGGCTTATATGCCAATGCACTTCTTGGCTCTAAGAAAAATAAATAAAAACACTTCATATGAAATAAAAACAAAACCGCTTTGGATAACTAAACCAAAAGGCGTAGGCTACTGCGACACTACACTCGCAGTGTCGGTCGATAAACTACAATATTCTAAGTTCAAAACGACCTAAAATAGCCTAATAAATAATAATGTAATTTAACTCGCCAAAGTGGATACGAGGAGAGATACAACGTATATGCTAACTATACAGTGTACTCGATTGACGAATAGGCGTTCCGCATACCTTCGCCCGGATAAGTTAGAAGGATTCGACACACAGACCAAAATTCAAATTCAAAAATTCAAATGATTTATTAACTCATAACATCTTTTGGAGGACAATGTACATAGATAGGAGTTTTGTCAATATTTATAAAACTAATACAGTCTAAACTGATATATTTGATAAAACTAATTACAATTATTCAAACTTTAAAAATGTAATAGTAATACTGTACAAAAAGAAAAAAATATCTGTCGATTCTTAAAACTAAGCTCAAACTACATGACGAAATTCCAGTCTGGTCTGTATCAGGACAGGATAGGCTTTGTCCTGTATACAAATTCTACTACAACAAATAAAATAAAATAAAATAAAAATTATCCCTTCAAAATATATTATATATCCCTTCAAAATTATCCAGAAAAAATTCTTCAATGCTATAGTAAGATTTTTCCAATAATAATTTATGTAAGATATTGAAGGTATTTTTTGATGAATTTTTGCTTATGGTTTTTGATAGCTTGTTACAAATTTTGATTGCCATGTAATTTGGACTATTTTCATACAGAGAAAGTCTATGGTGTACGCGACCTAGAGTGCTTGGTGTGCGCAAGACTGACTTATGGTCGCGAGAGAGAGTTGTGGGCGACACATACGCTCGCCGTTGACTGCCTCAAGAAATGTCCACTGTCCGGCGGTCTCGGCTAATCCCCACCACCGCTACGTCAGCGCCCCGAGGTCGCGGCGGCCAAGTCACGAACTAGGACACTTGACTTGCAGTGGACATGCTTGTCATTGTTGTCGAGCGCGCTCGAGCACTTCGCGGCCTTAAAATAATTAAAACGTACCCCCTAATAAAATTTGACCATTACAAATTTGTAAAAATATATTTATTTATTAAACAGATAGGGGTAAACTAATATAACTAGGCTACATGTATCTTAAGTTAAAAATATCAATATGCAATAAGGTATTTTAAAATACTGGGTAATCAATTGGATAAACACTTCATCTGCCTTAAGTTTGAAGGTTATTGGTCCCTACTAGGGCTATCCTCTTCACTCATTACATTATTTATAAGAATGATAGTCATTCGCCTCTGACAGACTGAAAATGTCAAACAAAACGTAGTAGGCCTATCATCTTGAAATAAAATCCCACATTAAACTCTGAATTTAAAATCAAAACACATTTCACTGTAGCCCGGTATAGCCTATTTGGCCTTTCTTTTATAAACTCATCACTTTTTCTTTCTAGGTTAACAAACAGCGGTTGTCATGTTTCTGCCACCAGATTGAAAATTGCACAATCAAAATCACAAACATAATATGTTTATTTTACTTCCTATTAAACTTCCACTAAACAAAATCAATTTTATTTTAAGTTACAAATCACTTCAATTAAAAACATTCAAAACTGACGTTGACATTACTCCACTCCAATCCATTGTTTTGTTTTGTTGTTGTTGCTATGCCGTCGCCATCTCTCTCTCTCTCTCTCTCACTCTCTCTCTCTAGTCAGTCTGCTCATTCTGCTTCTGCTTTGTTTCCCCATCAAACAGCTGTTTAGCAGGGCTGACGTTGCCATATTAATCATTACACCATTGTGATGAATGTCGGCAAAATTATCATAAAATTGCTGTAGCTTTTAATTCGTAAACAAAAGTTAATAGATTGACTAATTTAAATCATGTCTATGTAAACTCATTAGAAAATTATACTTATACTGTAGTTTGTTTACGCCACTACCACAGTTGTTGTAAAAGTACAAAAATAATTATCGTCCATCTGGCAACACTGAGTTTGAAGTGGAACAGTGGAACTGATCTTTCTGCCAAGAACCAATGAGATTGCGTCATTCCGAATTCCGATGCATCAATGTTCCTTGCAGTAACTTATCGGCTTCTAAACTAAACACCAATATCGATTAATGTGAAAAATATATTATGCAATAATAGCTTATTTTTATTTTATGTATTAGGTACTAGACCTATATTTTGGTATCAAATATTTTGATGGCAGTTCAAACTAAATCTAATACTGCAATGTACTTAAAATATCTTCAAGAATCGTCTGCCTATGGACTTACTAGTCACGAGACTCCCTTGTTGACTATCAACTAGTATAACTTGATAGATTCATTCAATGCTTTATTTCATTTTACATACCATATTGTTATCGAAACGTATTGTTGACTGTTGTAGTTGTAGGAAAGTGAAAGTCAAGTATTTTAGTCCTCTTGCTATCTCTGCCGAATGACAATGGTTGTTTGTTGAACATTTGGTATATATATATGTGTCCGTTAGCACGATAACTCGAGCAAAAATGATCCGATTTTGATCAAATTTGGTATAAACTTGTAAACCTACATTTATTTGAACGAGTTCGCGAACCAGCATGATTGGACTATGGGAACGGGGGTTTACTGGGGGGTTTTATGGGGTAAAAATAGGTTTTTCCCATTTTTGACCCAAAAAACATAAAATTTAGCAATTTCTTACCAAACCATTTTGTAGATCTTAAAAAACAAATAATTTAGATTATTGAAGCGTTATTATGCGCCTAATGGTTACGGAGAAAATTCCAAAAAATATAAATTTAAAATTCCCATGTTATTTTTATGGAGAACAAGTAAACTGTTGTAGTTTGCTTGTTTGTGAACATAGTTTGATCAAATTTGGAAAATGTTTTTATTTCTTACTAACTATTAACATTTAACAAAAAAAAACAGTTTTACCCTCCCTGATACAGCAAACCTAAGTACTTGTTAAACTAATTCTATTTAAATAGGAAATAAACGTTATATTTTTAAGTAGACATTTTTGTGTAAATCCAATCAGGCAAATGGAAATTCGCTTAGTCTGCAGGTTTGCTGCGGCGGGGGTATTTTATTCGTCATACTGAAATATTTGAATGCCAATTAATTGCGTTCACCGATTCATTTGCACGGCGGGGCTTCACCCGGGTCTCGCCGCCATTGGCGAGCGCCTGTTTGAAGGTATGCCGCACTGAACGTGTTAAAGGCCATTTATACAGTATTACAGGGGTTGTTTATGAGTTAGTAATGACTGTTTTATGTCATGTATTATCCGTGGTTTTCAGTAGTTATCCATGGTCTGTTTAAAATACATGATAGTAATATTTTTATGTCAATAAACGCGTTCCTCTGATAGTCAGACCTTTTTGCTGTTCCGACCATGCTCCCGGTCCCCCCCCCCCCCCCACCGGATTAGTGAGGTTCCACAGTAGTTAGCCATATACTATTGATTTACGAAGTATTAAACAAATTGAAAATTAACATGTTTTCAACTATTGGTTTTTCTTGTTTCAGTGATTGACTTTTGTTTAACAAAGCACCTGGTAGCTGATCCAACCACTGGACTGACCAGCTTGCAGATGTCATGGGCTTCTCATGTCAACTGCAAGCAACGGGAAGGCAGGGTGGGTCGTGTACAGGATGGCAGGGTGTACCGGATGGTACCAAAAAACTTTTACCAAGTGAGTGTGTAGCTTCAATCTTTCCATTTAAATGAAAGTAACAAATATATTTTTGTTTACAACTACCTAGTTAACTGCACACAAAACTAATAATAGTAGGTATTGAAAGTAGTTAGCTTATTTATAGTCTAGATTTAAGAGAATTTCTTATTTAGGAAATAAGCTAAAGCAGTACAGGGTGTCCACATTCTGGAAAGTCAGGGATAGTCATGGAAAGTCATGGAAAAACATTCTGGTCATTGAAAGTCATGGAAATAGGCAAAAGGTCATGGAAAGTCATGGAAATCCCCAATGATGGATGGATTTGAAAGGACCATTCAAGGCTCTAGTCGGCCCTAACCCCAATTATTGTAGCATTTATCAGCATTTTTTACAAATGTTTGACGATTCAATTTATTACAGTTGTATTAGTTTATGAGTTTGGCGAGTTTGTATTAGTTCATTGTTGTACCTATTGTACTCCATTGTTATCTGTTAACACATATTTCAGTATTTTCTGTGAAATAACTTGTCCATGCAGTATTATTTGTGTGTGTATGTTATATTATAATTTTCGAGTAAAGTGGAAATCAATGGTAAATGGTCATGGATAGTCATGGAAAGTCATGGAAATTAATGAAAAATTTCTGTTTACACCCTGCAGTAGGGTCTCGTGGTGAGACCTGGACTTCGGACCGATTTACTTTTTTGTTTTGATGTAAACAAAAACACCATTCAATCGTATTAACACATATATATATATCTGTATAAATATTTTTATTTATACTAGTGATGGGCCGATTCCTGAATTGGTCGATTTTGATACCGATTCCGATTCTACAACTTTGGTTCGATTCTCGATTCCGCACTCGATACCGATATCTGTTAAAAATTAATTTAATAACACGTTATAACTTATGTGTGCTTCTCGCTATACCTATAAATAAATAAAGAGCATGTTATTTTTATTTAATTGTTATACAATAAGACTAGCGGAATAGCCGTGTTCGCTAAAGACACTTTCAGATTGGTTAAAATTTTTAAAAATGTTTATAATAAATTAGTGTTCAAGATCCAACAGCCTTCAGTCAACAATTCAGCTACAACCTGTTTTGCTCCAATCGATGTCATATTATAGCAGCTATTATAATGTCTCACCTGGTCCATAAAGTGTGCATGCTCAGGGTGGTTGCCCGTGACCAGACTGCATAGGTTTAGGTAGGTGCTGCAGGGTCGCTGTCAGATTGGCACCACGACAGATTGGCACCTAGTGTTTTAGCACCCGGCGTCACATTGGAACCTCGTTGAAATGAAGCCCTGAAACATCACCCCCTGTCAGCTTGGCACCACGACAGATTGGCACCACCCCTTTCGTGAACGAGGTCTAAAAATACTAGGTGTACAACACAGTTTTCTGCTTGCAATATTGATTGGTCAGAGTGAGGCAGAGAGTCTGTCAACTATCACTAATCGTCTTGTTTTCCGGGTCCGACACCTATTATTGGGGAGTACATACCACGGAAACAAGAGACATTGAGATTAAGTGTTATAAATACTAGCTGTTACCCACGGGCTTCACCCCGTTTTAATTCATAAGTATTAATACAATTTTTGATTGGTTGAGTTAAGCTGAAATAAACAAAACAGAATACAGAAATACAAACAAATAATTACACCTGATTTTAATAAGGAAATAAATTGAAAGAATAACATACAAATAAGGACAGCTGAGGTATTTTTAACATTACGTATAAGGAAAGTTCCCTTTGGAAAGCAATTATGACCTTAAAGGGCAATTTATGAAATAATGGATAGTTTTGCGCAAGGTTTCTCGTCAAGACAAACATTTTAAGTATATGGTTGATGGGGATGTGACTTGTAGTTTTCTCAAAAGTTCATGGGTACTTTTGGCTTTATATATAGATTGCATTGAAGTTGATCCCAAAGAGCTTCGCTTCGCTCCGTTTACCTAAATCTTTCTTTAAGTAAAAGTAAAAGTAAAACAGCATGAGCATACTCTATAAAATACTCTCGTATAGCGCTGAGACGGATAAGTCCGATTCAAGCGTTTATTGTTTAATATCCAGATTATTATAATACAATTAGGTATAATACTAATTCAACTCAACATAGCTATCCATATTATGTAAACACTAAAAATAGTGCATACAAATTGTGAAATATATTCTTCACCTCAAGAGTAAAACATTTAGAGGACGCCATTGCACTCAAACGTCACAAAAACACTCATCAACACTTTTAATAGTAGAGTATCCGTCTTTCTTACGGGGTTGGCGTATAAGTAAAAAACTCGTATTGCAAGTTATACTCGTGCTTTGTGTGTTCACAAACATTTTGGTATACAATATGTGGGGTTTAAGGTTAAATCTTAAAACAAAAAGCTTTGTTGTTTACAAGTTTTCCTTTAGCTTATTAATAATATAGATTAGCCTACCTTTGGATAGATGTCATTTTGCCAGTTTTTAAATTAAAAATAGCTGACGGAAATAGTTTTTGTGTGGCTAGTTTTACACATTATATTTTTCCTACAGTTACTGTAAAGCATAGAAATACTTAGTGATTTAAACACTATACAATAGGTTAGGTTAAATCCAAGCGTTGGACGAAATGGGAAAGACTGCATCAGTTAGTTGATGGTAGTCGTAGTATATTTAAGTGCTGTCAACTTATTTTCAAGAGTACGCGTATTACATCCTAATAGCAGTAAACTCTTTTGTGTTGTTTTTAAATAATTTGTGTTGTTTGGTTGGATTACTAGAATACTGGAGTGCGGCAAAAGGAAGTAAATGCAGCAATAAGCAACTGCCTGTGCTATAATCATATTAATTAATTGTACAAACAATTGTACGGATTTTCTTTATATAATCCCGGTTAGAAAAACGTATTTAAACATTCTTTTATGGTTAATCTAACAAAAAACCACTAAGTGGTAACACTTTCCCCGCCAAGTCAGCAATCCAAAAAAGATAATAAATCATTACTTTTTCCGCCAAGAAAAACGTAATGTATGTAAGTTTGGCAACTAGGCGGCAGACTTTTGCTTGGTTTTTTCATTAAAGTTACGTTCATGGATAATTTCACAAATCAACTTCTCTAATTAATTAGTCCAACTAAGTATAATAATTTCGAGGTAATCAGTAAATATAAAACCCCCTGGGCTTAAACTCAGTTTTAAATTTCATCAATGGTCATCTTGAACAACAAAAAATGCGTTGGTGTTACATAAGTGTTCTGATAATTAAACCCGTATATCTAAAGACTAGTGTAAATTGAGCCCTTATTAGAGAAGTAAAAATGTAACCAAACAGATTAGGTTTGTTAGAAATAGCATAAGGCAAAACAAATATTGAAAAACTCATTTATCCTAAATTTACATATCACTTTTTAATTGCTTGTTTAACATACGTAGAGTGATTTTCCCGATTGTTTTATTTGTTTTAGTGTATCAAAACATAAAACAAACCTTAGTACTAGTACTAAGTTTCAAGTTCCTAGGTTTCATATGTTTTGATAAGTAGTAGTATTATACTGTTAAACATGACGAGCTGCTGTACCAGTGTACCATCGGTACACTGCATTTTTCAATGGAAAGTATCGGGGAATATCACTGCTCTAAGTAATTTTATATAGTAAGTAGTTCAAATCATTCGGTATACCTAAAAAAAATACTTTATAAAAGTTTTAAAATAATTTTTCAGCTGTTCCTATGAATTTCTCTAACATTTAAATTAATTGAGATTTAATCGCAGCTGGTCCTTCTTTTGTTTTGATTTTAATCCCATGTTATTTAAATGGACCAAAATCGTACTTTGAGGGCTTGCCAAGGGTTTATGGGTCAACACACCGACTTGAGACCCTCAAAAGGCACATCTACACGTTAAAGGCTTTCAAACAGCATAAAAAACATTAAAATTCAGCCAGTGGTTTGGGCTGTAGGTCCGTCAACATTCAAGGAGAAGGAGGAGAAGGAAAACACGGAAAATTTGTGAATTTTCAAACTAGTTTTTCTTGGCTCAAACACAACCGTTTTTAAATTCTTTTTTTATTTTGTTGAGAATGAGTGCCCCTATCCAGTAGATGAATAATTATTTTAATAGCTTTTGTTTCTTCAGAGCTATAGACGAGTAAAAAAGCCACTTTGTCACGTCATGTATACAGGGTGGTTTTATCTGCCATTATTCCAATATGGCCGCCAACTTTGATTTTTCTTATGGAACATTCTGTATTTTATGATGTATTCCGATAGAAAATGTAATTTTAAGGCAATTTTATTCTTGTAATTTTTTTCATAAACCTAACCATTTCAAAGATAATAATGGTGTAAGTTGAAAAATTTTGAATAGTTTTTTGAATAAACAGCTGGCATGCTTGCTTAGGCCTTTATCAAAATTCTTTCTCATGCCAAAATTTCAAAACTTTAACCATTATTATCTTTGAAACGGTTAGGTTTATGAAAAAAATTACAAGAATAAAATCGTCTTAAAATTACATTTTCTATCGGAATAGGCTACATAATAAAATACAGGGATTTTTCTTCGTTCCATAAGAAAAATCAAAGTTGGCGGCCATATTGGAAAAATGGCGGCTAAAATAATTTTTTTGACTTGACTACAATTTTTTAAATAAAAAATCCAAGGCACATACCATTGAACTTTTTTTTATATCTCTTATAGTTCTCGAATAAAACGGCTGGCACACTTATATCAATCACCCTGTATATACACTGCAGCAGCTGTGTACCGCTGAGGGACTTGGCGGGGTGGAACGCTGCCGCGTTCCTTAATATTGCAACCTTAAATACCCAGGGAGCTTAGCTCTGATTAACTATAGAAATATTTCCTGTTCGTTAAATTTAAACAAATGCCTTTTCATGTGGAAGAAATCACAACTAGGCCTACTTCTTGAGTGACAAAAACCGCCCAACATCGGCAAGAAACCCGCCGAATGTGTAATGGCCCTTTTAGAGTGAGGTTAGAAATTTTTTTAACACCGGCAACGCA